CTCTGTTTTGAGGGACAGTTCCCTAAGCATGTCACTGGAGTAAGTTACTTCATACTGTGTGGAACAGGGATTTGTAGGCTGTGCTTGGTTAGAATTTAGAGCACTATAGAGGTAGGTCCATGTTTTGTGTGTGTGTGTGTGTGTAGAGCTAGGACTTGAACCCAAAGCCTTGAGCATTCCAAGCAAGTAAAGGCTCTATCACTGAGCCACACATCCCCCACTTTAAGGAATTTTTTAAACTGTACTAACAAAGCTGGGGAGTCCTTCAGGCCCTGGCTTCCATGGCTAGAACACTCTGTCATTTCCGTCTTTCTTCTCATCTACATACCCCACTGGGGTGTTGACTATTCCCCAGATACTGCTTTGTGCTGGTGGATGAATTAGCTTGTGCCATTTGATGGCTGCCCTGCCTTGTTTGCCTTGTGTAGACTCCCATGATCACAGGACAGACCGTTAGAAGAACAGGGCTGTTAGTAATCACTCCATTGGATGATCAGGACTTCTTCTAACATTTTTGCAAACAAGAGAAAGATCAGCAGGGATAATGCTGTAGCTGGGATCTCCCTGGCCCCCAGTGTCACATTGACAAGTTCACTTAAAAAGCTTAATTATTCTCTATGATAGGCTTTATGTAATAAGAACATAAAAATGAGGCTTGCTAAAGATTTCAGGAAATAGATATGGTGAAAAAGACACCACAGAGGCTGACAGTTTGGGATCTGAGCTTTGGTCTTCTCATTTCCTAGCTGCATAGCCTTGCAAAGCAGCTTGCTTCTCTAAACCATAGCTCTGTCATCTGTGAAACAGGCCTGTTCTCCACCAGGCAGGCGACTTGTAGACTATTGTAATCGTCATTTTGTTGTTTTTCATACACCATGTGCCTAGTTTATGCAGGACTGGGGATTGAACCCAGGGCCTTATGCATGCTAGGTAAGCACTTATCAACTGAGCTACATCGATAGCCCATAGTTATGATAGACCTAGACTCGTGTCTTGACACATCACTAAATGTTCCACAAATGCTGGCTGTTGTGCTTTTCATATAGAAGCATGCCTGTGCAGCATGTGTGTATGTGTGTGTGTGTGTTATGTATGTGTGTATTATACTCTGATGTTAATGTCTTGTATTTATATGTGCATACACACATATTATATACTCTTTTATTTACTTACATGGTAAACATAACATTTAAACATCCTAATAAACCTATTTCCTGAAATTTGGAGGGGTTTTAGGAAATTGTGACACCATTTCTTGTTCTGATACATATTTGTGTCAAATCAATCCCCCCCCCCTTTTCTTTTTCTATTCTGAAAGTATGTGGAGTCTCAGCTGTGTAATTATTTGTGTATAGTAGAAAGCCAGCCACACCATGGTGGGACTCAATCAGTGGGACTTGGGGCTAGAGCTCCACCCAGCTGCTTTATTCATATGCACAGATTCTTGGTGGGTGGACTATAGAAATTCTCACTCTTGAAATGTTTTTAAGCCCCTGGGAGACTGAGCAGGGAGGAAAGAGAGAATTTTAAAAGCTGAATCTGTCGCCTCTAATTAACTTGCTCTCTGCTCCTGGGAGAAAATGTGGAAATCTGCAAACAAGGCCAGCAGCTTCAGAAGTGTCATACTGGTGGCCTGTGGTGTTTTGATGCACACTGTTCATAGTAAAAAGACTACAAGGTCTTTCTAGTACAATGAGCATGGTGTCCTCATGCCCTGCCTCCCCCAGACTGCTTCCCTTCCAGTCCCTGGGTGAATGGTGGTCCTCTGAGCAGGTGTGCAGGCAGCTGCTGCTGTAGAAACTTCATTGGAATTCACGGCTAGGATACAAGAGCATCCGGCCCTTCTTGTCACTTGTGCTATTGAGAAAGACCAGGGCCCTTTATATTTCAAAGCCTTGGGCTACCAGTGCCTAGGGTTGCAGAAGCAATAGAACAGGATTTTGGTACCCCCCTCTCTCTGCATCTATTGGTACCCCCCCTCTGTCTCTCTGTCTCTCTCTTGCTCTCTCTGTCTCTCGCTCTCTCTGTCTCTCGCTCTCTCTGTCTCTCTCTCTCTCTGTCTCTGTCTCTCTCTCTCTGTCTCCCCCCTCCCCCCCCGCATCTCAGTTTGAGCAGGCAGCCTGGGGCCTCTGAACACAGGAGATGCTCACAACATTTCTTGCTGGGGGGCTGGGGAAGCCTCCTTTTTTGGTGGTTCCATGAAAGAGGTTTAGATCTCAAGAGGTGCCAGCAAGAACAGTATAGGTGGGAATTTTTCCATGGAGATGGCTTTTGGGTCCTGGCAGGTGTGGTCCCCAGGGGAATGGGCTCGTTGGATATGGGCAGTTGTGAGCAGCAGTGGGGACTCCAGGCTGCTAGCTGCCCAGGAAAGCTCCAGAAAGAGGCAAGTTGACTCTGTGTGTCTTGTCATGGTTGTCCCTGATGTTTATGGTATAGATGCTAAGGTGAGGAAGAAGGTTCTTGGTGCTTCATTCCAGGCCCAGTGAGCTGATGCAAACATTCATCCTTCTTTACTGTTCATTTCTGTGTTTTCACACTTAAAACTTCACCTACCAAGATCCGTTTCTACCAAATATGGATGGAGCTTAAATTTTCCCCGCAGACAAAGCTAAGTCTTTTAACATTAGCGTGTGTGTGTGTGTGTGTGTGTGTGAGAGAGAGAGAGAGAGAGAGAGAGAGAGAGAGAGAGTGTTCCTGTTGTGCTTCTGAGGATTAAATATTTACTAGTGAAATCTAATACAAAGTTGGCTTTAGCTTGTTGATTCCCATCTAAAGCAGGGTTGATGTTTTTGATTTCTTTGAGCCCCTGCAGGGCCCTGGCATTGTAGGTGACAAGGTCTTTTGGGGGGAATGGGGACAATCTTTGGCACTAATAAAATAAGTCTCTCACACTAAGGTATAAAAGAAAGATTGATATAGTTGTTCTTAAATAACTTAAATAATTTTGATTGATTGATTTAAATAATTTTTGAGACAGGGCTTCATGTAGTCCAGGCTGGCTCCAAACACTCTACATAGTTAATGAAGACTTTGAACTTCTGGTCCTCCTGCCTTGACTTCTTTAGTGTTAGGATTGTAGCTAGCATAGGCTCAGACCACTATATCTGGTTTATGTAGTGTTAAGGGTTGAAACCTTTGGTTTTGTGCATGCTAGACAATAACTCTACCAAGTAAGCCACATCTCTAACCCTGGCACTCACCAAATGGCTTCTTTCCTTGGTCGTAGTGGGCCAGGTGTTGTTTGCTGGTATTCTGCTGGCCAGTTGATAGACTTTAGAAGAGGTGACATCTTCCAGGGTCACTGGTCGTGGGACTCTGTGGAGCTGTGGAGTTGTGAGTATCTCACAGTGTTGGAGGAGGCTCCCGTTCAGTGGTACCCGTGTGATCTAGTGTACTGAATCCTGACATGCCATGTTCTGTCTCCTGCATCATGGCCTGATTGTAAATCTTCAGCAGTGGTCCTGATCTGCAGTCCTGCGGATCCTCTCTTGGTAGTTAGAGTCCTCATTCCTTGCCAGTGAGTAGTTGGCATTTGGGTGCATTGGACTGTTCAGAGATGGGTGCCAGCATGTTGCTGCCGTCCACAGTGTCTGTCCTTACAGGTAAGGTTGGCCTTGGTCCTGTGGTTATCTTGAGCCAGGGAATCGATGGCCCTGTCCTCTCAGCAGCAGAACTTATAACTAAGATCAAGTAGCTTGGGGCAGCAGGAAGGGAGAAAATGTTGGCAGAGTTTTCTTGTGCCCAGGCAGGGCTTGTCCACTGACTTCCTGTTACCAGGAGAGACTCCTCAGTAGGCTTTTGGCCCAGGTCTGTGTCTAAAGAAGCTTTCTTGCAGGTAGACTTCCCTAGGGACCACCAAGGGCTATCACTATACCACCGAGGACTGGCTGGCCCTATTCTGTGGCTTGGTTTGGCATGCTCTCTGCTGACAGGCTGTCTGGCTCTCATTCATTTTCTTCACAGATGGTCATTCACTTCGTTCTGTTTTAGGCTCTGGGTACTGTGAAAAACAAGGCCAGCCACCTGCGTGGCGATTTCAGTCCAGTAGAAGAGATCCGTAAACATGAAGAAGCGCAGGCAGGGCAGGGAGTCCGGAGAATGGCAGGCTGGGGTGGGAGAGAGTGAATGCAAGTCGAGTTTACAAGATGAGGCTCTTAGGCAGGCAAGCCACTGTGGTGAACGTAAGTCTCTCTGTTAGACTGACTCAGTGCTCCATAGCGTGCACCAAAGCTTAGCCAAATAGAGTGTGAATCTGTCACTAAAGGTGGACATGTGTCTTTCAAGTAGAGCTACATTGATCTCTATTGTGGAAAATATTCTTTGGGAGTTTCTACCTCACCTTAGATCATTTAGTTCCCAAATGAAACACCCCAAAATCTTTATATTTATAAGAAGCCTTAAAGCATTTGAGATGGACAGATATCAAATCCCTGTGCTATTTTGTCTACTCCCCTGTCAATAACCCTGAGATATCTCACTTACTATGTTCTACCTAGGCCGCTCCTACTCCAACAGGCCCATCCCCATGGCCATGCGCTCACAGTCATCTACCCCACGGCCACGTCTTCCTTCTTTCTCCTCCTCTCTTGGTCCCTTCCTGAGACCCCCAAGCCTGGGACCCTCCAGCCCTGTCTACCTCTCTTCTGCCTAGTTACAGGTTGTAGACATCTTTATTAACCAATCAAGGATAACTTGGGAGGCAAGGTTTATACAACAAAAGCTGGTATACTTCTTGGAGCTACCAGGTCTTGGGATACGGTATTTAGCATTTGAATACATAGCAGCACCAGAGCAACCCACTATAGATCTCAATGCCATTGGACAGATTCACCCACTTCCTGGGAATCACGCTTTGAGGTGACCTTCACACCTGTTTGCCAACAGGCGAATTGAGTATTTGCCACAAATATATTTGTTGCAGTCAGAAGGCCATCCATGCCTTCCCAGCAGAATCTCTACTCAGCACTGTCTCATGCATGTTTCTTATCTCTTTCCACCAGGAGTTCCGACTCTGAGGAAGCCTTTGAGACCCCCGAGTCAACAACCCCTGTCAAAGCTCCACCAGCCCCTCCCCCTCCACCCCCTGAAGTCACCCCAGAGCCTGAGGTCATCGATCCACCAGCCCCAGAAGAACCAGGTAACCAAATGTCAGGAGCCACTGGCTCCAGGGGACAGAGTTGACTCTTAGACAGTCCACAGCCCATAGTGGCTGGTGCCCTTCTCTTGGTCCTGTTTTATACGTCACTGGTTTCTATAAAGTCCACAGATAGACAGAGTAGGTTGTGCTGTGTGCATCCTAGACGTGACAGTGTTGCTAGAGGTCTCTGGTCCCTTCATTTTCAGACTTGGGTAGGTTTGAGGGTTGAGATAGTGGGTGTTGGGGATTTCCAGCAGGATCTTAGATTCTACTCTTTAACCCCTTCTCCCATATAAATGTTAATACAAGGCTGTTCATTTCACCCTGTGCCTGTATGCTAAGGCACCCCCACCAGACTGCTTTTCAGGAAAGAAAAGCACCTTCAAGTACAGTTTAGATGTGATTACTGAGGGTCAGAACGGATCTGAGGGCACCTGCCCACATGTGAATAGTGTTCTGTGTGCTTCCCTATTACACCAGAGGGGATGGAACACCTTTAATGGGAAGTTTAACATGAAGCCTGAAAGGAGACACAGACCACGCTTCCATCTTCAGACCTGGATACCACTTAAACGAGCCCGTTCTGTCTTCTTTAAGCCTCAGCCCCCATGACAAGTACACAGAGCTGATTCCCTCTAGACCAGCAGTTCTCATCCTTCCTAATGCTGTGACCCACCTCATGCTGTGGTGACCCCCAACCATAAAATTATTTTCATTGCTACCACATATCTTTAATTTTGCTACTGTTATGAACCATAATGTAAATACCTGGTATACAGGATATCTGATATCTGACCCCTACAAAAGGATGGTTAGATCCCCAGAGGGGTCTTGACCCAGAGGCTGAGAACCATCAGTCTAGACCGTGTATTAGACGTTGTATGCAGTTTCTTTTCAGGTCCATCTCTTCTCCTGCCCTAACCCTGTCTTCCTGGTGGCCGACTTTGTCTGCAGAGGAATCAAGAGTAGACTTGGGACCTACAGACTAACCATCTGCAGCATGGCTGGAGCTGGTAGTGGAGGAAGGCAGGCCTAGGGCTGGGCTCGCCTTTGCACTGTCAGGAACCAAGAAAGTGCCTTGTAACTTAAAATAATGGTTTGGTCTCGACGTTGTTAAAAAGGAGATGGAATTTTTTTTCTCTGCTGGTTTAGGCAGGCTACTGGTTTAGGGAATATATACAGCCCCTAGGTTTAGTCTTAAACAGCTAGATGCCTTCTGCTTGGGAACAGAGCAGGGCAGTTTTCATGGGACTGACAGGTACAGGGTTTCCTTCTCATGCTCTCCATTGAGTCTGTATAGTCGCTGGCCTGTGAGGGGAATGATGGTGATGGTCTGATTTAAAGAGGAAAGGAGCCAGAGAACTGTTTACAGTTCTGAGACTCTAGTGTCCCTTCCTTCGTTTTATGTAATAACAAACAGAAAAGTATACTTTTGGTATCGCTTTTATAAATTCACCCCTAATTTTAAATGGAAAGTGTCCGAATGAAAAACTGTAGGCCTGGACTGAAAGAGAGGGCTCAGAGATTAAGAGCATTGGCTGCCCTTCCAGAGGTCCTGAGTTCAATTCTCAGCAACCACATGGTGGCTCATAACTATCTATAATGAGATCTGGTGCCCTCTTCTGGCCTGCAGTCATACATGCAAGTAGAACATTGATTGTATACATAATAAAAATAAACAAATATTCAAAAACAAAACCCCCTCAAAAACCTGTAGGCCCATAGCTCAGACACATCACTAAAGCATATACAGGGAAAGGTCACTTTGGTGGCCCTTGGTGCAGCTTTCAGGATTCCCTGCTCAGTACCCTGACTGCTCCTGGGAACTCTTTACCACCATTGAGCACCTCTCTAGCACCACATAAACTTCAGACAGTTGAGTAGTTATACCACATAAAAATGGGACACAACCTCCATTCTCTCTGCTTGGAACAGGTGCTCAATGATCTGTGTTTGCCCACTCTACAGTGATCCAAAGGGCACTGGAAGCATGAGCCAGTTACTTCGGGGAACACTGAACACCATGCATGATTTGGAAGGACATTATGGTGTCGCGCCCCCACCCCCCCCCCCGCATTCATTGTATGTAACCTCCTCTGAGATGGTTTCACATCCTAGAATGGCTGTCTAGCTGATACGAAATGCAGACAGATGAGATAGCATCTGTTCTGTGGAGACACTCCACTGGTGCTGTGAATTTACTTCTTATGATCGTCTTTGTGTTTTAGGTTGTGTGGCCCATTAATTTTATACTTTGCTGTTGCTTCTTTCCTGGCTCGGTTAGATCCAAAAGTGACCCAGACAGAAACTAAGACCATTGGGTCCCTCGTTGTACCATTTTCCCCGTAACATGAAAAATGCTGTTAAGTCAGTGATTGTGTTATTGGGATACGTGGAGATGCTTGCTGTTTTCATCATTTGGAACATATCCCATGCCTGAATATCCTCCAGGATTTAATCTAGTTATTCTGTTCATTCTTCCACAAACACAAGCTTTCTTCAGAATAGACAGAATCAACCACCATACCGCTTCATGCTTGAAGCAAGGAGTCAGAGAGTGGCGTGAAACCTTGTGTTCACATGGGCTCCATTAGGACAGACTGGGGTTCTTCTGTCCTGGAGAATGACATTGGAAAGCTCTGGGGTCTTTAATGTCCTCTGAGTTGGAGTCTAGGTCAGACATACTAGATGTCTATCCCAGGCAGCCACTGGATTGGGGAAATCCATGGGGCTGGCCATGGTGCTTTGGGACCTCGCCATTCAGAGCCCCAAGCGTAGCCCACATTGTAAACAAGTTGAGTCTGGTCTAAACAAATGAAGCAATGGAGCAGGGTGGAACCCCAGCACACAGTGGTGTGGGAATTCTCTGGTGGTCAGATGTAAGTGACAAGCTTCCCCTTGCCAGGATCTGGCTTCTCAGTCTTCATCTTGGTGGTGTGCAAACTGTTAAGGAGTGGCAGCTGCCTCAGCACGGTGATGATGGCTCCAACCACTCCCTAATTTCTTTTTCAACAAAGCAGAGAATCATCTCCATTCTTAAAAGCAAACATACACAAGCCCACCTATTACTTAAATGACAATTCATAGAAGAATGAACATTATAGAGGCTTAAGAGGTAACCCCTGTGCAGTGGTGTGGAGATGTTAATTACCACTGAGTCACAACCCCTCAAAACCTTTGATTACACCCCTTGGTGTTTTTGAACAGGGACTCTACAAGTCTCCTTTTAAAACTGCAGTGAAAAAGAAAAATAAAATAAAATAAAATAAAATAAAATAAAATAAAACTGCAGTGAGCCTGTCAGCGTAGAGATTACATTCAGGAGACCTAAGCTGAGGGAATGGGCCTGCATAAAGCACCCACCTCCTTCGCTTGGGCTACACAAAAGGCTGTCTGATTTGTTGCACCTGTTGGAAGCTGTCCCCCATACCCACTCCATCTTCCCATCTATTCTGCAGGCCCGCAGGAGCACTGTAAAGGCGTGAGAAGGCACTGTGCTTCTTGCATAGGTCGCCCTAGGGAGAGGAGGGTTTGTTCTGAAAACCATGGGAAAGAAAGGGCAGGAGAGGAAAGGCTATTGTTCACAGTTTTCCTCTACTGAGTACCTGGAATGTCACTAAAGGACTAAGGAACCACAGGAAATAATAGACCAGGCCTTTGACTGTGAGAACAAACATGGTTTTTCCTCCTAGAAACCTGTTTTACAAAAGCAGTCGCTGGCTATATGCTGGGTCCCGTGAGCATGTTTATCCAGGATGCTGAGTGCCCACCTTGGATGTGTCCCCATCTGAGGAGCCCTGTTTGCCTGTGTATAAATGAAGGCAGCAGCATGTAAGGTCTGAAATCACTACCTTCCAGCCTCGGGGACACTGGGCAGTGTTAGCACTGTGGGGTGTAGTTAACTTTTCACCTGACTAAATAATAGCTTTGGCTTCTGCATCTTCCCTGCATTAGGCTTGTAGTAGGGCCTTTGTCTGCATCATGTCCATCTTGGATGAGAGCTAATTATCCCTTATTTGAATAGCATCCCCTTCCTTTGAGGTCATACACCTTCCCTGTCCTGCAGCATGAGAGCTCTAGCTTCCGGCTCTCTCGTGCAGCTTGTCCTGCTGTGTTTGCACCCCTGGACTGCTGTTGCTGGGCTTCTGGCCACATAGGTGCTGAGTCTTTGCTCTGCCCACTGGCACTCAGTCACATGCCGAGCAGCTCTGTCAGCTGGTCCTGAGAGCTGCAGTCTAAGCTGAGAGCTCTCATAATGCCCAGGTGGCAGGAAGTGGACGGTCGATGCCAGGTGCCTGATAGGAGACGTGAGGTGAGCTCCTTGCCTGTCCTCTCTGGGACAACCTTGTCATGGTGACAGAGCTTGTCTGGTAATTCTTGCCAGTAGCCCTCCTAACCTGGAGAAGGACACTGGGAGGGTCTTGTGATTGAGCTGCCTAGTGCCCTGTGTGCCTACACATTTTCTCTTGCTGGTGGCCTGTGGGTCTCTGTTTTAGATTACATCTCTCAGTGTTAGCTGCCAGCAATGATTTGTTGTCACCATGTCTGCCGCAGAAGGCTTGTTTCTATACATACTGGCATTTGCTTTCTCCTCCTTAAAAATCCAAGAGTGACCTGAAGCCCCTTGGTATTAAAAGGTCCCTCTTGGGATGCAGAATAGGGAGCTGGTATCATGGGCAGGATCTGAGGGGCTATGGTCGTTATTTCCTGGCACTTTCTGTGCCTTAGACTAACATTCATGTAGCTTTCCATTCTGTCTTCATAAGAACCCTTGGCTCTCAACAGTAACAGATTTATAAAATAACTTGCCCAGAATACACAGCCTCAGCCTTAGCCTCAGCCTCAGCCTCAGCCAGCCTACCCATAGACAGAGTGTAACTGAGGACAGCAGAATTTCATTGCTCTAGTTCTGGAGGCTGAAGTTGAGATTATCTGGAGGCCAGGTTTACAAGCAGCACTGTGCTGTGTCCTCACATGGCACATGGGACAGAAGCTGTCTC